GGTATTGACGGTAGAGGGAGTGAGAGTATGTTTACTAGGCAGATGGTCTTATGGGACTCATGACTACTTCCGGTGGCATCAATGGCCGAGATATTTGAATACACACTTTGTTGTTTCGCCCGAGGGTGTTACATGCAGTATATAAGACCTCCAAGTAATAGGTCATACCCGTGTTGTATCTACCAACAGCGCCGTGGTGCTGCTACCTACGCCTCTGGGGAATCATTGCACAGAAACTATGAGTGCATCGGGTGATTGATTGTGGTTTTACTGATTCTCTAGGCGGCCCTACCTGTTCCGTACTGTGCTATTACATGGGAGGTCCATGACCTTTTAACGCCGGCAGCACATATGGTATGCTGTTCTAAATGTTAGCAAATAAGGATACAGTCCATCAACAAACCAACTACTCCACCCCCCCCCCCCCCCTGTGCGAATTACCAGCAGCTACTAACATCCGACAAACACGCCTACAGGGAGTCCTAATATGCCGCATTTGGGGTCACAGGCCGTGGGCCATACCGGTCCTCTGAGTGGGTGCGTTACGGACTGCGCCATCGCATACTCAGTGATGGCTGGGCCTGACAGGCGCATGAGCAACACTTGGGCTCAACCCCGTGTGGAGATTGTGGGCTACAACAACACGGAGGCACTCCGAGGCAAGAGACTGGGCGTGTACAGACCCTTTTTCGAGCACTGTGACGATCAGGTGTCTTGTTGTTGTCGTTTGATATAGTTATATGTGTATATGGACTTGTATATGAACATGCCGAGTGTTTGTTTGCTGTTCCCTTCATGCCAGACAAGAGACATCCTCAACCTGTGAAGGGGTTATCGTTCGTATATTTGATTCTCACTCTCCATGCGCCAGTCATATGGTCTTTCGTGCTTATAGTGCTACGCATAGCCTTCTAAATGAACAGCTATGCGCTACGAAATGTCCGTGGTTGGTGAACAAACTCGTACACTGCATCAGTGTTGTACTCGTGCATCTGCCCATTACTTCATTCCGATACAATTTCACACGATCACTCAAACCCAAGACACACTGCTTTCTACTCTCGAATCATACACGGGCTTCTAATGACCTCTCACTCATTCGAACGTATATCTATTGCGTGTGTACGTCACTGTTTTCTAGATCGCCAAGAGTTGCAATGAGACTGTGCAGAAACTGGTGCAGAACTACGGGTGCGAAGTTGTGGAAATCCGCATACCGCGACTGGATGAGTTGAAGACGGCGCATTTCATTACTATCTGCACCGAGTCGTTGCTGGGCACGCACCAAATGAAGCCCGAGGATCAAGGCAACCTACAGGTGTGTAGTATTGAGCAATGTATAATAGATATGCATGTGGTACGGTTTATCGCATGTGGGATGGAGGGTACACTATACAATTCTGTGCCTTGACTCGGATGTATCTGTTCGGAAGTATCTGCAGTATGTCACTACAATGCATGCACCAATATATATATATATGTATATGTATATGTATATATATATTATGTATGTATATATGTATGTATATATTATATATATATATCTATATGTATATATATATATATATATGAATTATATACATGAACTATATTTATGAATTATATACATGAATTATATATATATATATATGTAATATTATGTATGTGTGTGTGTGTGTGTGTATATATATTATTTATTTATATATGTATACGTATATAATATGTATGTATGTATGTATGTATGTAAAAATATATATTTACATGTATGTTGATATCTATGTTTATGTATATATATATATGCATATATATATGCTCTGTTATTGTATTTACGAGAACAGTTTCTGGTTATCCTTAGTACTTTATCTGTGAAACATGACCACTTCTCAGCTATCGATGTACTAATTATATTCTTGCATACAATCCCTATACGCACTCGCCACACTCTTGACAACCAACTGTGTCGCTCGGATATGCGATAGTCGATCACTATAAGAACACATATATATTTAAGCCGCTCTTTAGCAGTCAGTTGGTACAACATGTTACTATTCTGCCGTGCTTGAAACCCCTGAAGTCTACAGCTGCACCACAACACTCACACGTCTCCTTCTACCTATCCCAGCCATCTGTACGCTCCGTATTCGGACTGGCTAAGAACTTCACGGCCGACGACGTTGCGCGTGCCATGCGTCTGCGGACGTACTTTATGAAGTACATGAACGAGCACGTGTTCACGGAGTGTGATGTGGTTGTCACCCCCACCACCGGCGAGGTGGCGGGGCCTGTGCTGGGGTATCCACATGGTGAAGATATCCTGGATGGCGAGTTGACGGGCCGCATTATGCGGTTCGCGCAGATTGGCAACTTCACGGGCATCCCGGGTAAGTGTGCTATGTGCTGTGGTGCATGACTTGCCATGTGTATGCATCTAGGGATACTTACAGTCGTCCAGTTGTTTATATGCGTGTGTTTGGTTGGGAAGTGTCCTATATGCTGTGGTGCATGACTTGCCAAGTGTCTGCATCTAGGGATACTTATAGTCTTTCAGTTGTTTGTATGCGTGTGTTTGGTTGGGAAGTGTCCTATATGCTGTGGTGCATGACTTGCCAAGTGTATGCATCTAGGGATACTTACAGTCGTCCAGTAGTTTTTATGCGTGTGTTTGGTTGGGAAGTGTCCTATATGCTGTGGTGCATGACTTGCCAAGTGTATGCATCTAGGGATACTTACAGTCGTACAGCTGTTTGTATCCGTTTGTATCTATGGGTAAGGTGCAGTGGGTTTGCAGTATGTTTTAGGGTTTAGGTATTTTTGTTTGAACTAGAGCGGGCACGCCCATGTGAAGTCTGAAACAGGAACATTGAGCGTTTGTGCGTCTTATGATTGAAGGTTGGTACCTATGGTACGGTCGCTATACAATCAGCTATAGCGCACCCTAGTGTGCCTACTATCCTTACTCCGGATGAATACCACATCAATCTAGCCTTCCTGCTTTGATACTGATAGCAAGCTGAGACGTCTGACTGTATTTACTCAGATGATGTTAAACAGCACTTCGCTTGTCTCCACAATGCGTGCGGAAGTGGTGGTTCGTGTGCACGGCTGCAATTGTCTCTTTCATTTGACCCTCGTCTGTGGATTGTCATCCGCAATAGTTGCAACAATCGCCGATCTCTCGGGCTTTAGGACCGCTGTGGACTTTCTTACAAAGCAATTCTTATGGAAACGTACTGCTGTTTATTATTCATGGATCATTATACTCTTGGGTTTAGTTTTTTGTTTTTTGTCATAGATATATATCTGCTTGATTCTCATTGGTCCTTGCCTTTGGTTTGTACTACCACACAGCCATCACAGTACCCGCCAGCTACACAGACGAAGGACTTCCCATTGGGATTCAGTTTATGAGCAAGTGGTGGGATGAGCTCACACTGTTCCAAATGGCCTCTGCGGTGGAGATCGAGTGCGAAAAAAGGAAACCTGAGCTATACATGCCAGTGCTTAAACAGTAGTTTGCTTTAGTAAACCAAAGGCAAACTTGAGGAAACCTGAGCTATACATTTCAGTGCTTGAACAGTAGTATGCTCTGGTAAACCAAAGGCAACCTTGAAGAAATCTGAGCTATACATCCCAGTGCTTAAACGGTGGTACATATGCGATTGTAAAGCAGGGCTTTGAACACACTTGGAACCGAAATCACCAGAGCTTACAGGCTAAGCTACATGTCTAGATCAACCAGAAACAATAAATATAACTATTATGAAGCTCTGTCCTGCTTACTTCGAAGTAAAGTCCATGACAGGTGCGCGCGATACGGTTTAAAGTTCTGAACCAGTCACAATGGAATGAAATTCGGCAACTACCACGAACAAGGATATAAAGATATGGGTCATGATTGACATCACGAGCCGAGTTGGTTATACTTATGTTACTAATTTCATACCTTCTCAAATGGCAATGCAACAGAAATGCAAATACAAATGGCTGACAGCGAACAGACAAGAAACATTACCACAACATATGTCGGATTGTCGCTTATCGAGCGCTGCCGTATCAGATTACGGAGATTGGTTCATCTGTAGCTTGCTCATTGTAATTTCGTGTAGTCACGTCAAGTGTGTATTCCGTAAGATATACGCTTGGACTATCAAACTATTAGCACAAGCAATGTTGTATAAATATCAAGTGTGTCTTTCGTATGATATAAGCTATTAGACTATCAAATTACCATCACAATCAATATAGTAAATATCAGGTATGTATTTTGTAAGATATGCGCTTGGACATCAAATTATCGGAACAACTATTTTGATGGCATATAGTCGGTGAAAGTACTGGCATCTGTACAGCTCCAGTGACCCAGCAAAGAGTTAAATTGTGAAAGCAAAGTCTCGTCATTGGTATTTATTACTGAATAATTATCGATAAAACTTCAATAATCATTCTCAAATGGGAACGAGAACATAACATAAGCTGGAACTTGACAGAACAGCTTGAACCTTATGCAAATCTGTCGGCATTCATCAGATACTCCCAAGCAGATGTAAATGCCTGCATGAAGGCATCTTCGTCCATTGCAAACTTTTCAACAGCGGCTTTCATATCGGGGTCGTCTAGTAACGCCAGATCGTAGTCTTCCATATACAGTCCCTTGCTTTTGGCCTTGTATCCATTCTCTAGGTCAGAGACCAAAACCCAATCTTCATTGAGCAGAAGTTGGAAGTATTCGTTAGAAAGTACTGAGGGATTGCCTGTGTATGAACCTACATACCCGAGCGTATGCTCATGAGAGGCACTACGAGGGCGTGCAGCGAGCGCGACGAACTCTTCGGCAGTGAGTCCCATAACGTTTGCATTGTCTTCATTGGCTATCATCGGGTTCAAATAATAATCTCGAAGTTCTGACGTAGCTGCGTAGTCACCGTTGATTGCGTCCGAACGTCCGCCTTTGAACTGTAAATCTAATCCGCCCGCATCTACAAGCGCTGCATGACCAGCAGCAACAATCAAATCAGCCCAAGAGAGGTCCTTGAACTGTTTTTCAACAGGTCGCAGTACGTCCATCACTTTGTCCAAGTCTATATTCCGAGGCCAAAATTTTTGTGGTTGAAATCGAATGCTCGCCCCGTTGCATCCTCCACTGTAATCTGTAGTTCTGAATGTAGATGCGCACTGGTAGGCAAGCGTGACAAAGTATGCGCCATAGTAGGGCTCACCCTTTGCGTTTCTGTCTGGTCTAAGGGCATTGGACTCAGTGTACATAATCTCTTTGATCATCTTATTGACCTCCTCGAAATCTACGTTGTCAGACTGCGACTTGGGCAATGGATTTTGGAATAGTGCTGGTGGATATAACACCTTGTCCCCCTTACACCGTGCAGCTGGACCCATATCACGGGATGTTAACTTGTACCACGCATCACTGAATGCTTTATCTAATGCGTCCTGATCGGTGGCAAATTCCATTACCAATGGCAAGTAGTACTCGTCATTAATGAGAGCAATGTCGGATGTGAGCATCATCAAACCAGGTAGCTCCTCAGCTTCCCATTGGACGTGGCCACCGGGTCCATCGACTTTGGTCCAATTGTAGGTGACTAGGTTGTTGAAGTATGCATTATCCCATTTTGTTGGATTGTTTGTCCATGCTCCCTCAAACCCACTTGTAAAAGTATTGGGTCCTTTGCCTTCCATTGCGCCTGATCCACATGGCGGGCTCTTGCAGGCTCCATGTGCTTTACCGAATGCGTGTCCACCACCGATCAGTGCGACGGTCTCGCGGTCATTCATACCCATGCGTCCGAAAGATGAGCGTATATCTGCAGCACTACCCACGGAATCAGGAATCCCCATGGGTCCTTCTGGATTGACGTAGATCAACCCAATTGTAGTGGGTCCGAGGGGAGCCTCACACTGACCATTCACTTCGCACGACGCAAGCTCTTCTTGGTATGTGGACGGTCCGAGTGGCACACTCTCTAATCCATCTTCCGCATCAACACGACCCCCGCAGAAGTTCAGAGATGGCCCACCCATGCTCTCGATAGCAACATTCCCTGTCAAAACTATTAGATCACCCCAGGAGAGATCGTCACCATACTTCTCCTTTACAGACTCCAGTGGCTTACGCGCCTGGTCAAGATTGGCGTTGTCTTCCCAGTCAGCTTCTGGGCCAAATCTGATGCGCGCTCCAGCACAGCCTCCACGACCGTCCGAAGTACGATATGAACCAGAGCAATGCCAGGCTAGTCGAATCATGAAAGGTCCATAGTTTCCAAAATCGGCAGGCCAGGACGACTGTGAGTCGGTTAGGAGTGCCGCAATGTCTGTCATGACGTCCCCATATGAGTCCATGCCACTATAATCATCGGTGGCCCGCGCAACTCGTATGTGCTGCTTTTGCTGTAAAATATGTTCAGCAGCAGTTCTCTGTGCCGCGAAATGGGGGCATAGTGCACTTACATGTGCAGCGCCCACAGCCGCGAAGAAGAATTGTCTGTAGTGCATGGTGAAAAATCAGAGAATTTATATATTGGTTTACGTTTCCGAGAAAGTAATGTGATAGAACAGTGAAGTACGTGATAACTATTTATAGTGATTTACGGTCCCTCATAGGTACCTATTAGTGTGGAGGCTATCCGAATGCCCTTGACTTCTGCTTAACAGACAGATGGTACTCTTCATCCTCGCTCACATGTGTATCCTAAATAGTAAATACAGTAAAATATTCTGGCACAGTGTGGATTCCAAGGGATCTGGATTTAAAAAAATACAGGATATGTACGGAAGTATTTGTTTTTTAAATGTTTTTTTTTAAACAAATTAAACCAAGCGGAAACAATCGCTTGAAGCCTAAAGACTAAAAAGTAAAGAGTAAAACTTCAAAAAAAAAAATACAACAAAGATGACTACAAAATTTATCTGAATATGAGTAGATGGCTTCGTATCGATTCGCTGACCATAAAATTGGAGTATTGAGCCCCCCGATCTCAAATCTTACGAGTTGAATGCCTCCTGGATCAATGGATTCCTGCCTCCTGGTAACCTGGTTCCTGAACAATTCTGAAATATCATTCTGAAGCACTGAAACTTGAGTCTGAAACTGTGAAAAACTGAAACAGTGAAAGCCGAAAGCCGAAAGCGCCAACGGTCAGTGGAAAGGCCCAATCGCCATCGGCGAATCCACAGGACTCTCTGAGTCTCCAGTCCCTGACCCCAGTCACTCCTGACTCTACTACTGAGGGAGTTGTGAGTTGTGACCCTGTGGTTCCTGCCCGTTCTTAAGTCTTGACTCTAGAGAGCTGTGTCGCTGCGACTACATAGAAGCTAGAAAGTCAAAAGTGTTTAATACAAATATGTCGCACGAGAACCACAAGACAGCTGAATCGTTTCATATTAGTGGACGGGCACAGCGTGGAAGCGCTTATGTTTTGGGTGTAAGATGATACGGTGTGTGTCATATGAACACGCCTATGATGAGGTATAACTTGCAGCACCTCGCGCAGCTGACGTCTAATTCACGATTCATCTGGGGGTCGAGTGGATATCTTATCAAACTCTTCCAAACAAGGTCTGTTGCGAATCGCCATCGGTAAATCCGCAGGACTCTCCGAGTCTCCAAGTCACTCTACTACTTAAGGAGTTGTGAGTTGTGACCCTGTGGTCCCTGCCCGTTCTTGAGTCTTCGCTCAGTATTCGTCGTCCTTGACTCCTTACTTTTTGCTCTGGACTCTAGAGAGCTGTGTCACAGCTGCGACTACATAGAAGCTAGAAAGTCAAAAGTGTTAAATACAAATATATCGCACGAGAAGAGTTTGTCGGTCACAGCTGCGACTACATAGAAGCTAGAAAGTCAAAAGTGTTAAATACAAATATATCGCACGAGAAGAGTTTGTCGCAAGACAGCTAAATCGTCTCATAATAGTGAACGGGCACAGTATGGAAGCGCTTGTGTTTTGGGTGTAACATGATACGGTGTGTGTCATTTAAACTTGCCTATGATGGTGTATATCTTCCAGCACTTCGTGCAGCTGAAGTCTTATTCAAGATTCATCTGAGGGTCGAGTGGATACTTTATTAAACTCTTCCAAACAAGGTCTGTTGCGAATAGCCATAGGCGAATCCATAAGACTCTCCGAGTCTCCAGTCCCTGATTCCCTAGTCAATCTACTACTAGAGGAGTTGTGAGTTGTGACCCTGTGGTTCCTGCCCGTTCTTGAGTCTTCGCTCAGTATTCGTCGTCCTTGACTCCTTACTTTTGCTCTGGACTCTAGAGAGCTGTGTCGCAGCTGCGACTACATAAAAGCTAGAAAGTCAAAAGTGTTAAATACAGATATATCGCACGAGAAGAGTTTGCCGCAAGACAGCTGAATCGTCTCATAATAGTGAACGGGCACAGCATGGAAGCGCTTATGTTTTGGGTGTAAGATGATACAGTGTGTGTCATATGAACTCGCCTATGATGGTGTGTATTTCGCAGCACCTCGCGCAGCTGACGTCTAATTCCAGATTCATCTGGGGGTCGAGTGGATATTTTATTAAAATCGACCAAACCAGGTATGTTGGATGTACATAGATACTTGTATTTTATGACCCTGTCCTCAACGTAGTGGAACTTGATGGCGTGTCAATGGAGCTTGGTAGCCCGTGAGGGCTACAAGGAAGGCGAGGGCTTCCCTCGACATCCATATTTTCTGCACAATGACATTTCAACTACTACTGATGGTTCGATAACGGGTGGTACGTTGTTTCGTAAAAATGATTCTCGTGATACCATACATCTGTTTGCCACGACGCACCAATCAATGCTCGTTTGTTCTACACGGCTAATCATGCGTGTCCCATGATGTTCTATTAACACAATCTCGGGCACGAGACATGCGGATGATTAGCGTCGTGAATATTGAACTATAACGCTTCAGCTCGTCCGACGCTACAAATCGTTGAGGACATCACAAATATGAAATATCAGCAGACTCAATACTTTATGGGCTATGGCAACACATCGGATGTCCTTTTTGTTTCGAATATATTTCAGATTTTCTACATGCATACATAGCATATAATACCGCCAAAATACGAAAATTGTCTCTTGGTCGACATGTGCTGATGTGCACAAATTCACGAAAATAAAATATATATTTACATATTAACTAGAGTATTATAGCCTTCTACGTACGAATTCATTTTGAAGGCAACATATGCACATGATAGATAAAGACTAAATACGATGCGCACTAAAATCTACAGTCTACAATATACACACTACACACTACACACCAGGATACTTTTTAAAACTCTAATATATTTATTCAATCCACAAGTATAATTATGTACTTATTTCATATGAAATATGTTTCATTAGCTCTTCCTGCCCTGGATTGCAACCATACGATAGTGTGTAGATGTCAGCAGGACTCAGTACATACGACACTGTACGAACGACAGGTTGGACGGTATGCAATTGGTACCGCATCAGTGTCTTGCTCAACTTCGGAGACTTAAAGCACTGATTAACAAGAACCTCACAATATAGCATCTGCTGGTGTCCATGCCTCATAGCGCAGTAGACAGAACGATGGATACTGGTATTCTTGAAATTACTGCTACGGTGTATGCTTCCGTAGGTATTTTCACTACCAGTGATGATGATGGCAACACCATGATTAGTAATATCTGGACAGACTTATCGCACACTCATATATATATATATATATATGAACTTCAGTACGTCTGTGAAAACAATCCTTCATAAATATGTTTGTATATATATATATATATATATATATTTATGTGTGTGGTGGGGGTGTATGTTTCTGTGCCTGTGTCTGTGTCTGTGTCTATGTCTGTGTGTATATATATACACTTAATGTCTCTATGC